GATGTGTTAATGGATATTTTTGTGACATGACCTCCTGGCATGCCGTTGTTATGGCCGTAGCAAATCCGCCTACTTGATGAGTTCTGCAGCGCCTTGCTGCCTGTCTGATTTGGTAAAGCCGATGCGGTTGAATAGAGAGAAAAACATCTGAGGTATTATGCAATGCTATGCATGTCCAGTTGAAGTGCGCTATAATTAAAGCTATTTAAGGCTTATTTAATAACAAGGACAAGGTATTACCCTTTTGGGTCCTGTTAATATTCACCTGCCAATCATATTGATAGGCAGCGATAATGGGAAAATCGGCAACACCCTGTCTGGCTGGTGATAAATATCTTAATAGTGTTTAGCGGCGATAGATGGCGCCAGTGGAAGGAAAGCTGCCATAACATATTCACCAGATCATCAGACTTAAGTGAATTTCACATCAAATTGTGACCCAGTTTGCTATCAAGCATCTGCACTTCTCCGAAGAACATGTTGATATAGAGAACAAAGCATGTGGTATGAAACCGAAATCATGCTGGTTTGAGTTTGAGTTGGAGTTGAAGCCGGGGCAAGTTGTCGCTCAAATTACACACACTGCTCGGCTGAAAGCTGATTATAAGCCTCAAGGCATGCAATTTGCATCAATAAAACTCGGAGCTTGCTCCGACAATGTCTGCTGCTGTAGGTCAGTTTGTGATTACTGTCCCTGACGCTGTCCTTAAATGCCGTTCATCTTCCTCGGCTGGTGTTGATTTGCTGACTGCTTCTGCATTTGCCTCTGCCGTTAAAAGGCGCATATAGGATGGATACCAGGCGCAGCCTAACTCACGCCCCGTACACTTTCATCTGAGGCCGATGCCGACCTGTTATCCACAGCGTCTCTCTTATCGGAAAGAGTTTGCCATAGTGATGTCTGATGGTTTCTGGCCACTTGATCGAACAATAATTACTTTCTCCATCTTGAGGGGGCAACGACTGTTATTGATTTCTGACTGCCAGCATAATTTTTGTATGCATCATTAAGCCGATAAAGTCTCAGCTCATATACCAAATAACAACGAACATTTGCAGCCATTTGCAAATTGCTTATGGCCTTTAAGAACTGATTCAGCTTCGATAAAAATTATCCCATGAAATAAGAGATCATTTTCATAACCATATAACTTTCCAAAAATGATGTGTAAATGTGAAAGGTTCACGGCCTCTTGGAGCTAAAAGTGGGAATTTCAATCAGTTACACTTTTTGGGCGGGGGTCACTTGATTTGCATTTGAAAAGGCTGCTGGTTTTATTATTTTATATCGATTAATAAATCTTTGCTAATGATTTGCATCGAATACAAAGAAAAATTTAGATGTACAACTAAACGGAACAAAGGGCAATAAATCAGTGATTTATGTTAAAACCTAGATCTGATTTACATTGTGTTTAAGTGTTTGTGCATAAGAGCCAAAAAGTTAAGTTCTCCAGTAGCTTGTCCACTAAAACCTTAGCAAATCTTGCTGCAGCCTGATTAATGTCTGCTACTGTTATTCGCTTTACACAAAATCTTACAAAGTGAAAAACCGTATCAATCTTAAGCTCATCAGGGCTTATGGTTGCCCTCTCTGGCTAAGGGCCAATTTTTATAGTATATATATACATATATACATACTTGTTATTGTGCAATTTCTTTTGTGGCAGTTGAAGTTTGCTAAATTAACTTCACTTCAGATCAAAAGCCGCCAAAAAAGCAAATCCACAATATCCAAAAATTATAAAGAAGAAAAAAAGAAAAATGATAAAGCTGCAGCTTCTCCACACTGCTCAAGTGTTATTCCTGACAGTTTGGACGTCCCAACCAATGTGAGATCTGTCATAAAAGCGAACTGTGCCGCTCTTGATTGTGATTTTGATTTTGATTTTGGCGGATTTTGGATGACGGGCTGTCTGACTGCCTGGCTGCCATTTCAAAACGCAACTGCCCAAAAATGTATGCAGATCTTAAATTAAAGCGCGTTATCAACAACGAAATATAAAAAACCGGTTGGCCAAAAGCAATTTGGTCGGGGTCTCGGTCTGAGTTGATGGGGTTTCTTTAAATTTTTGACTTGTTTTGTTTTTATTATTACTATAATTTTTGTATTATTATTATTTTTTGTTGGAGTGGCACTTCCTTAATTGGAGCAGGCATTGCAGCAAGTGCAGTGCTAATTTATTATGTTATTTAATAAATTTAATTAGTGAATAACAAGACAGCAAAATGAAGCGAAACGAAAAATATAAACGTTTAAAGGCAACGAGAGCTGCTCATTTGTTGGCAACAGAAAAATTACTTAATAATTTCCATCAAAACTAATTAATTTCAATATTATTCAGGCAAGCGAAGTCAGCCGCAAGGCATCGTCAACTGGACGCGTCCACACAAAAGACACCGTCAACGGCGACGACATCGTCAACCACAACAGCACGTTAAGCAGTATTGCAGTTAACCCTTTTTGCCAACTTTGCGCTTTGAAGATTGTGGATGCAGCATAAAAATGCTCATTACGTCCAGCAGAACATGCAGCAAGCCCAAAGGCTTTTTACAATTATTATATACATAATTATACATGTAGCTTTGTGCTATGTCGTAAATATATAGTCATACTATATATCTCTTTCTTTGTGTGTCTTTCTCTCTCTCTCTCTCTCTCTCTCTCTCTCTTTTCCTCTCTTAGTTGGTTTTTAGAAGTAAGTTAAATCAATTGCTGTATGTAGCTGCAAAAGCGTCAACGGTTGGAGCTGAAACTGCAACCTGGGACTGGAGTCTCACTCGAAGTCTTTCAAGTCTGAGCCCCGTTCGCTACGCTTGAAAAATTTCATTTTTGGCGGCTTTGTCCTTACTGGCAAATGACTTGATGCTTGGATGTGGCTACCTTGCCAGTTCTTATGGCACTTATGCTACTTATGCAGCGTTTGTGGCTGCTGCTGCAGTGCGGCCAAAATGACCGTAATTAATCAATTTAAGCAAAGTGGGAGCAGCGGGACCTGAGAGTAGGGCGTTCGGTCAACGGCAATGTCCGTGTAATAACAATGAAAACAGCGTGTGTTGCATGGTACACGGGACCATATGCATGTACTCGTAGTCATATTGGTACTCATGTATATCTGCACACCATAAATTATGTTCGCACAGGGTTAAGCGCATTATTTAAGCATTCATCACGAGCTGCGGACCAGTCGCAGTCACCGCCTCAGTCCGGGCTCGTCCGGGGGCCCTTGGCTGCTTCTGCCTGCTGCTTCTCTCATCTGTTGCCGTGTAATAATTTTTGAAATTTATGTAAACAGTGTTGATTATGGATGAGTTATGTAGTATGTTCTACCTTTTGTTGCTGTTGCCATTTTCGCGCTGCGAGTGCAGTTAATTTTAAGCTTGTTTTGCAGGAACTCGCCAGCAGTTACCCGCAAGCCTGAACTTTATTCAGCCTGAGCTTGAGTCATCGGCCAATTGATGTCTTTATTAGGCTGCCCGCGACATGGCTGGCTAAATATCAAGCCACTTGAATATTTTCGCCTGCAACAGTAAAATGCCAGCTAGTGAGCGACTCTGACTCTGACTGTGACTTTGAATTGGGCTTTTGACTCTGAATATGCTGACAGCTTCAATTTAAGGCGTGTTCGGGGCACTTAGCCGAGCCATTGGAAGCCAAATATCTCTCACGGTTTCTTCAGCTTCTAAGCTTCATAATATGCATAAATATTTCAAATTTCCGATTTTTGTATGTGGCACATTAAGAATGACATGAACAATTATTTTCCAAGCTTATACCATACACACATACACACAGATACATGCATTTTGTTTTCGGCGAAATATGAGTTGCAGCGTGCAAAGCCACAGGTAGAGACCATACCATTTGGGTGGCGCTTTTGTCTTTGAAACGTGTCCGTGCTCGTGTCACATGCAGCTCGCGTCGCCTGCATCAATTCAAGCGCCAATAATATTTTAATTTTATTTTATTTTTCCATCAGTAAGTCAGGTACGCCGGGCCACGTAGCCAACTGGCAGAAACGGGCATGTTTAGCGGGGACAATCACTTGATAGACTGCCACATGTCCCCAACTGCGGCGCATATCCCATGAGCCTTAGCCTTAGCATCAGCTTCTGCCTCGGCTGCCAATAGCTGCCAATACAGTTGCAGCTTGAAGGTTGATCGCCTAATGGCCTGCGGCTAGCGCTTTTCAACATGAGCGCTGATAAGCACGACAAACATTTAACAAGTCGTTGAACATACTCTTAAAGCTCAGTCTCAGCTCGCAGTCACTGTTCGGTCTCCGTTGTAGTTTCAGCCTGGACTGGCGCTGGCATGTTCTGCTGCCAAATGTGGGTTAAGGACGCACAGCAATCAACGGTCGCCGCCCCTCGCCGTTGGCAGCCAATGTTCATTTTGTTTTCGTTTTGAATATTCCGTGTAATAGTTGTAATAGAGTTGCTGAAATTGGGCATAGTACAAGAATACGGTGTTCGCTTATATATATATATATATATATATATATATATATGTGTGTGTGTGTGTGTGACAGCGGCATAGAGTACACAGATGTCTGATCCACACCCACATTTCATTAGCTCCATTCGCTGGGCGCTGTTACAAATGTGATAATAAATATTCGAGTTGTTTGTGAGTGTTATAATTTAGTGTTGATTAGTTTGCGCAAATAAGAGTTATTGATTCAATTTCAATTAAAAGGATATGAATGTTTTGCGTTAGCGCCATTCCCAGGCCACATCAATTCTGTCGCCTACATATGCAATGACTTCAACAACAAACTCGTTACGGTTGCACACTTTTTTAGTGTTTTTTGTGGCACCTTTGCATTGATAAGGCCACAGTCAGATTATTAATGATACCTAATGAGTGGGTTGGGCAGCGCTATATAACTGCAACTGCATAATACCATTTCCGATTGCCGAATGCCAATTGCAACCGGGCAAAAAATTGCAGTTTTACGGCAATTATATGTCATTTATATAAGCCGCTGAATGTATAATTAGTGTAAACTAAAAGCTCAAGCATTTATTAACTAATTTGCGTAAGAATTAAGTCAGCAAGTACTCTCGTAAGTTTTATACTTCGATAGAATAGCCTCTCCGCAAAGGCACCGACAGCTGCCAGCGTTGCCGACGCAACTGCTGCTGAGTGCCACAGCAGGAATTGTAGCCGGAGCTGTTGGAGTGAGTGGATGACGTTGAGGGATTGGGCGAGCAACACAGCCCAACGGCCGCCAGGGGAGCTAAAAGAAAAGTGATCTGTCGATTATAGCCAACGTGTTCAACAGCAATGGGGCAAACTTACTTGGAAGGGAACACAGAGCAGGCTGCATAACAAACAGGGGCAACAACTATAACTACAACAAACTATATGTATATAGCAACAAATAGGAAGACAACATTTTGGACGACACATATGCCTATGAAGCCTGATCAGAATGATTGGTGGACAGCTGACGCATGGTGAAGGTCGTCTCTGCAGTTACAATGAACACACGATTAGAAAATTCATAGATTGCGATTTGATTGTATACCTGGTGTGCGGAAGCCTTCCTGGATCTTGTAGATTTCGTTCAACTCGCGGGCGCTGCAAAGTGGAGTGTCCACCTGTGTTGTCTCATTGAAGCGCGCATAGTCAATCTCATAGGCCTGCAGGTCCTTGTTGTATAGCACCACAGGATCGAATCGATGGCCCCACAGTATCTCGGTGTTTATGTAACTCGATCTGGCCTGCGTGGACTGGCCAGTTGATTCCACAGTACCCTCTAGTATTACAACTATCTCGAACTTGTCCTGCAACATATCTGTGGCATTCATATTGTAGAGCGGTGAGCTCTCGTCGATTCTGTGCTCAATCACCATGGGCCAGATGAAGAACAAATCAGAACCTGACTCATCTGTGCCTATCTGCAGCTCTGTGAAGTGCTGCGTCATCACCTCGCCTTCCCTCGTACTGCGCGTCCTTATTAGCTGAGCCCGCACACCCGCACCAATAATATGCGATTTTCGCATATCGCCAACGCGGAACATCAGTGAGAGGCAGCCATCTCGTTGGCAGATCACCGCGTTCTTGGAGAAAAGCAGAGTCTGGGCACGCTGCTTGGCGCGTGTCATTTTGGCAAAAACAATGCCAGCCATAAACGCCGATGACATCACACCATATATGGACTGAAAGCACATCATGAATATTGCCTCGGGGCACTCGGTCGAGGTGGTGCGCACGCCGTAGCCGATTGTGTGCTGTGTCTCGATGGAGAACAGGAAACAGGATGTGAAACCATCAATGGCGGAAACGCATGGAGCCCAGCCAGAATCCTCTATGCCATGAAATTTACATTAATAAGATTTGATAAGACTTTATGATTGTACTTGTTCACATACCCTGATTGTCCGGCATATGCAACTCCTCCAAATCGCCATGAGTGTACATGATGAGCCACCAGATCAGTGCAAAGAACAGCCACGACAGTATGAAGCTCAGTGCAAAGGCGAGCAGTGTCCAGCGCCATTGCCAGTCCACCATTGTTGTGTACATATCCTGCAGGAAGCGCACCCTCCTGCGCTGCAAATGCTTCTGCACCACATTGCAATCTCCATTTTTAAAGACGGCACGGCGTCTCACGCGTCGCATGCTACCCGGCCGAAAGTTGCGCGATCTGCAAAAATTTGTTGAAATCTAGCGTCTAACTTTTTACATAGCAACGAATTAAAGGAATCAGCCCGAAAATATGTTATACTATTTTCCACAATATTATAACTGGTATATATTAGTAGATGTTGTGTTTCAGTAATAAGGTATAAAGCGATTCCCTGTTTATCAATATTTCTGGCAGTTTGAATAAGAGTGAGAAGACTCTTAATGCTGAACTTTTGCATTTCCATTATAAATTGCATTCATACAGAGAAGATATTTTTAGAGGCCATCTGCACTTGAAAGTCATTCAGTCTGTCTACAATTGAATCGGCTGGCCAGACTTGCATCAGTTATCCACTATGCATATGCTAATTGTCTAAATTAACATTGTCTAAATGAATACTTGAACAACTTAGTATTCGCCAGCCTTTGGATATGGAAATTAGGTGTAACTAATTAACACCACACTAAATTTGTCAATGTCAACGGCAACCAACTGAACAGGTTCCATGGTGCGGTACGTCTTCTATATCAAACATAGGGTATTAATGACCATATGCAATCATGATAAGTGTACTCAATTAATTTCAATTTGCGTTGAATCAATCGCGGTTAGTAAATTCAACAAATTGTCACTACACGATTTAAGCCAAGCTCCCACATGACCACATCCCACACTCAGCTTAGTGCAATTCTCAGTTACAATTAAGTTTACTATAACCCCGTTGGCATTCTGATCTTGGCCGATTAATTGACATTGTGCCGGTTTCATAAATAACTGCTCATCGAATTTAATACACAAGTTACCCCAAATATGTGCGACATGTGGACGAATAAACGCGCTTGTGGCAGGGCAATAAAATGATTCATTGCGCTTTGAAGAAATGCCGCACTCACTCAACTGTTAATTACTTCCATTGCGTTGAAAATAATCTTTGCCAACGCCAACGCAGACGAAGATGGTCCAACCCTAGTCACTGGAGCACATTGTCTGTGGCTGCGGAAATGATTTCATAATGTCCCACGAGTGAGAAAGCTGTGGACTCAATTGATTGATAAATCGTGAATGCGATAGAGCCGGGCTAATAGCTTTAATCGAATCGTTTAACGGCCGAGAAAAATGTGAGAGAAGTGAGAATGAAAATCAATGTAATTTATGGGGCGTTTGGCTTTGACAGTTGAATAATGCGCCAGTGGACAATATTTGAATGGGCTGGCTAATGAGTCGGCGACGTCCGCAACCACTGAATGGGTAGGAACTCACTCGAGCGACTTCTCATTTAGATAATGCTCGTAACTCATGTAAAAATGCAGCAAGCTAGGCTGCTGCGTAGGCGGTTGTATAATTTACAACCACAAACAGCGCACGGGGCACTTGAAACCAAATAAACGTCGCAGTGCTAATCAGCTAAACAAATTGTAATGTAAGACTTGTGTGTCTGTCAAAATCGCACACACACACAGGCACGATAGCTGGCCGTGCATTTATTGGTCAGACCGCTGGCTGGCAGCAAGTTCAAGTTGAATGCCAAACACTTGGACCTCTATATAATGCACATATTTGCGTAGTCATACAACTGATGGAATAGCGCACCCCCTGGCCAGCGAGTGGCTGGATCCTTTGAGCGCCTCGTAGTAAACGCCTGCCTGGGAGGGAGTGTGGGAGATGCCTCTCATGTAGTGCCGCTTCCACTCTTTCATCTGAGCAAACGTTTCGTCCTTGTCGCCGGTAACGGTCTCCACATCAGCAACATCCTGTAGCACCTGCACATCGGACAAAGGCACCTGCATTTTGGACACGATCGCTCCAATCCCGTCCGCGCACAAAATTCGACTAAAGTTCCGATCGTCGCAATTGATCTTAAGCCAACATCAAGATCAGCTGAGTTGACAATGTTTACTTTGGAAATTAGAGAAGTACTAACCAATAATCTCCTATTGACTTTGCTACTTAGATGCCTGCCAAAACGAGTGCAAACAGCACTTTAATGGCTTGCCACACACTTGCCCCCACTTACCTGCAACTAGGCTGTCGCTGGAATGCTTTGCCATTCGTGGAGAGGCCATAGAAATTAGCTGGACGATTTGGTACTATCGTTATGGGATACGACTGTGGATTGCTGATCACACTGTCCAGCGAATCGGGATCCTCTTCGATGGTCGCTGGTCTCGTGACCGGCTTGACTAATTTTTCTTTCGATTTTGCAGTCGCCGCCGCAGTTGACGTTGAAGTTGTCGTCGCTGTGGAGTGGCTCGTAAAATTGAAACGCATCTGTGAATGGCAGTTCAAAAGTCCGCTTTAAATGACATTGTAGCTAGGTACTCGTGTGTGAAACATTTGTTTGCACTGAAACGATGCCAGGCAACCAATTTTGTTGCCTTAAGAGCGCAATCAGAAACTTTTGATGACGGCAAGTCGACGTGCGAGAAATATATCACATACAACTGATTTATATTCGTCAACAAAAGATGAGCACATGAACTTGAGCAAAACACTAAAGCTGTTATCAGTTTGCAAAAGGGTCGCTAGCCCCGCACTGCCTGTCATCAATTTGTTGCAGTTAATGTGTTGTAGTTATGTACATATAAATTCAATTAAAGTGCAACACAAATAATCGTAAAATTTATGAAAGTCGTCAATTTTAATTTGTACTATTGTATAAGTTTGATTGCGATGAATATGTTTGTCTTGTTCTATAAAGTATTTTAATTTTGTTTGATGAAACGATTGCAAAAGAAAGTCCTTCAGGTATATTTCTATTATTATTTTATAAGCAATCTTTTTGTTTTACACGGGGTATATAGGATGCTGCCATGTTTAGTTTTACATCTTTTACACAACGTATCTAACACGATTAACGCACTTTAAGATGTAAAACCCATTAAAAAAGAAAAAAACCACTTAAAACACACCTTTAAGCGATTATCTTATTTTCGGCACTTTTGAGGTTAAATATTTTTAGCACCTTATTAAGCGCGCACAAGTTTCAATAAATTGACACCTTTAAAAAGAGCATTACACGTTTTCCTATCATGCTAAAAAAAACTTTAGCACCTCTTTAATAATTTTATCACTTTGCATTTAGTGTTATAATGTACGCCAAACGCACACCGCTTAAATTGTGCTTCGTTTTGTGTGCACGCTCCGAACCTGAAATGAGCAGAGAAATCTCGGACCAACTGCACACAGAGCAGAAACAAAACAGTAGCCGAAGCTAAGCGAGGCACGGAAATCCAAAGCGAGACTGCGATGACAAAGCTACAGAAGCTACTATGTAAGTCTGTCCAACGGTTTAAATGACGGCCGACTGACAACGACGGCGACTGCGAAAGCGACAGCAACAGCAAGAAAATATTAAACTAAACAAAAATTGTGAACAAAAGGCGACTTGCTGTAAATGAGCTCAGTTACGCACACATGCACAGTGTCAGTTCCCACTCAGACAGTGCTGCAGATTGATGCTCTCACAGATATAGCAACAAATACAGATACGGACACAGATACATAAAGCGAATCAAACGCACACATGCAGATAAAATTGTTGTGTTGATACGAGAAAAGTTCAATTGAAATGATTTTTAAATTGAAAATGAGGCGGAAGATAAGCGCGATAAGTTTTGCTTATCTATATTTGATGTATACACGGACAGAAGAAATTAAAAATATTAGCTGACACGACCTTGCGTCTCAATGTATTATTACAAGGGGGACTTATATTTAATATTAATTATACTAAGCACTTGCTTATTGTACTCATGTACACCGTTACACTCTGAAATAATAGTGACTCTAGATGCTTAACGTGCCAGAATAAACAAGAGATTTATCATAAACACTTTTTGCTTCTGTACGTTACGTATACGTAATTTGAACTATCTACGCGTCGTTGATTGCAAAAAGCTCACGTGACTATATGATACAAATGAATTATTGGGGTAGCTTTTTTTTGTTCTGTTTGAGTATCATAAATCTCACGGTTGACGGAAGATACAGAATGGCGAACCAGTTAAATAAGCCAAAGTCACACATCATAAATTTATTAAACACTTTCCCAATTAAATTGCGGGGTGTGGAAAATAATTTAAAGACAGTGAATATATAGCTGACAGCTAATTATACAATACTTACAAGGACTTTGCTATACTTCAGATGAAATGGATGTTGGCGTGTGTACGGTGTGCGCCAGATCAATAATGCTATCGTGCGGCAGTTGACGCAAAAGCTTCATCTTCATTGAATAGTGAGGCAAATGGCTTTCGTCCACTTTTTCCGCACACTTATTTATGTAACGCTTACTATACACTATAATGTAATGTTAATGTAAGGTTGTTGGTCGGGCTGAATAGCAATGAGGTACTTATTATCGCTGGTATGTCAGCCATTTAAATGAGAGCGACCAGCAGTCGCACCTTGGCCTTGCTTTTATTGTATTCCACGTGAAAGAAGAATGTGTATTGGCAGCAGGAGACCACAACATCGGCCGCTTAATAAATATCTACTCATAGAATCGGTGTACCACTTATTCTATTAACTCGAATCCTCAATATCCTGTTTATCTGCTTATTTGTCGTTATATTGCCACATAACTGCACGGGGTGGCTTCTCCTTGAGTTGTCTGTCTTGTACGCGTACGGAGCGACCATTATGTGGTCATTTTATGTGTTACACAGTTTATAGAAGAAGTATTATTTGTTACTTTACGAAGTGTTAATGTATGTGTATTATCATTCATCTATTCTCTAGATAAAATAAACTATACGTGCTACGTCTATCACCAGCAGCTGTTTCTATGCGGCAGTGCGCTTTCTATATTCCACCACTATTCGAATGATAGATGCAGAGGTAAATGGTCTTCAAATGATATCAACAACTACATGAATTATGTCACGCTAAATTGTGAATGGCAGCAGCGGCTGACACTGATGAAGAGCACCCAAGCAGCTGTGAAAATTGAATAATCAGCTTAGTTACGCGGCTTGACAGTGAGTGACCCCAAGATATGTACACTCATCCTACCCCTCCAAAGTACTGATGCTGATACTGACGCTGAGGCAAGCATTGCATGTCAGAATTTATCACTTTGTGTATTCCGTGTGTGTGGATCGACAAGTGCATATTTGTAGACAGTCATTGGCTACTTTATTAACTAGACACGATGAGCGAGGGTGCAAATTTGTTTTTAATGCACTGAATGTCGCCCGTTTGCATCTATTGTTAACATTAAATCAATCACGATTTTGGTTTACTTCTTTAATTATAATTCTAATTCGATTTAATTTATTTTATTAAAAAATTATATTCCTGTAACAAGAATATTCAGTTTTTTAATTTGAATCGAACTCATCTTTTTGTTTTAGACTAAACAATTTATAATCCTAGATTAATCTGAAGGTATTGAAAAGGTCTAACAGGTAAAAAATAATTTTTCTCAAACAAACTTTAAAAAGTTTTCAAATTTTAAGATTTAGTGCTACTTAATAATTTCCCACATTAGAAAATTCATTAATATTCGGATAAATTTCAAATGAAAATGGAACACATAAGTAGCGGTTAATACCCCACAAGTTGTATGTTAGTTTTATGGAGCCATCTATCGTCACTATTTGAAGTATTAAACATGTGTTCTAAAAGTATGCAACATTTTTATTAAACGGAAGTTTAATTATTTGAGAATCGTGTAGCATACTTTCTGACGCTCTTTTAAAATACCCCAAAATTCCAACTTTACTTGACAACTATAATAAATTGAATCGAAATTGTTTAACAGTTAATGTGATTTATTTTAAATACGATACAAAACGTGTCCAGGAATACTCCAAAATAACACATATGTTGGACGAATTAACATTTGATATGGAATATGCTCGATTAAATTCTGACTATGTACACCTGATATTGCATATGAAGTAAGGAAAAGTTTGTTGGCTTTGGGTGTGCTAAAAGTACATTTCTTATACTAAGGATTTGTATATATATTGGGATGTGGCTATATGTTTGTGTAAATATGTATGTATAAATGCTGCAACACTTATGTACAAACTATATGCTAAGAAAAATATAGCTACTAACTATTATAAACTACGATAATATTAAAATGAAATTTGCATTAAATATTCTTTTCTGCTCACTCTTTCACAAAATGGCAAAATGTTTACAAAATGTGTGTGTATGTATGTTTGTATGTGTGTGTGTGTGTGGGTGTGGGTGTGTTTAGCTGAGCAATGTGCTGGTGATGCCTATACATAAATATGTCGATCAAGTCCTGAAGCATTACATAGCAACACCATTGTAATGTTCATACATTTCATCCCAGAATCGCTGACGCTCCGACTCAGGATTTGTTCTCATATTTAGTTCACTTGAAATGTCCAAATAGTTGAGACTGTTCATAACATTCGCGGCATCAATTGGGGCCCACTTCGTGCTCAGTATAGGATCGTCAATGTTGGGGGTGGGCGAACTATAACCAAAACACAGTACAGTTTCTATTAACGGATCTGGAGGCTCATGCATTATTACCCGTATTTGGCAAAGTTTGCCCACATTCGCACCATGCGATTCTTGACTTGCACTTCCATGGACCTTGGGTCCAGGCTCAAATTGAAGAATCCAAATTTGAAGAGGTAGCCCATCTCGTCGCCATGGCAAACACCTGGCCGGGGAATGCCCAGCATGCGCTTATATAGACCTAAAGCCCCATCGAAGGAGAAGCGATACATGTAAACGGGAGCATTGCCAAACTTGGCATGATTGCGAGCTGTGCGCCGGATGCCTTGCAGGAACATGAGATCAGTTAGCAGCTGGAGAATGATGGAGTTATTAAATTATGCATGGATACAACCGATTGCGTTTACGTACCGCTATCATTTCATCCACAGACTCGAGCCCAACATGCTTATTACCCAGATAGAAGGAGCGTATCTCGCGCGTAACTCTATCATGGACTTGGGTCACGTTCAGATCTTGTGGAACCAAACGTCCAAAGTCATTCTCAATGATATTCAATAGCTGTGGATTCTTGCGTAATCCTACAAAAATAAATGTACACCTTGCATAATCATTTTCACTTAGTGATTCTGGCTACTCACTTCTTATAAAGAGCATGGCCTCGTGGGTGTTATAACCCGTCATATAGGGTATCTGAGTGTTGAAGTTGTGCTCCTTGTACATATCGCTTGGGTGCTCGGTGAGAAAGGGTTCTTCAAGGAATTGCTCCTCTCGCGAATTCTGATTCCAATAGCCCTCCACCACAGGCACAAATGGCAGGCCAATGTTATTGCGCTGATCCTCCGCGGTTATCGTGGTGGGTGCTGCCTCAACCAGCTTCATGGCTGGCACTCGACGCAAGAAGTCTAAGATTTCCTCAGTATCGTTAGCACCCACATAGCCAAGATTGGCCGCCAGCCGCGCTGCTCTATGTCCCGAACTGGCTGCCATTGACCAGGGATTTAAAGCAGAACCGCTCTGTGAGATGGCTCGATGGAACAGACCCTTGGCCAGTGGCGAGAGCAGCAACAGCTGCACCGAAGATGCCCCAGCAGACTCGCCAAAGACTGTCACCTGCTCAGGGTCACCGCCAAAGGCGGCTATATTATCGCGCACCCATTTAAGGGCCAGCACCTGATCCTTAAGACCTTGATTGCCTGGCGCATCGGGTCCGGCTGTCAGAAAACCCAAGGGGCCAAGTCGATAGTTCATAGTGACTAGCACGATATCCTCGGCAACCAAATAGTCAGGTCCGTAAAGAAATGAGTTACCAGAGCCAAAGGAAAAGCCACCGCCATGCAGCCACACCATCACAGGCAGCTTGGGTTGCAGGCTTAAAATAAAACTAATTAATTATTTGATTACATAAATCATAAGCTCATTTGCTCACTCATCCTCCTTGGGCATGCGAGTGGTGAAAACATTTACATAAAGGCAATCCTCATCGCCCTTGAAGGTGTCCAGTATCATGTTCTTGTGCGGACAACTCTGACCCTCTCTCGAAGCATCTCTCACGCCAGACCACGGCTTCTCCGGTTCTGCTGCGCGGAATCTGCAGGCATACTATATAAATATATCTTTCAGTGGACTCACCTTGTTCAGGACTCACCTTCTGGCTCCAATGGGCGCTGCACCATATCGCATGCCCTTGAAACTATAGTAGCCCCCTCTCTCACCGGATCGGTACTTCTGAAAGCGGCCTCGCACCTTGCCCAAGGTGGTGCTAGCCACAATTTCGCGATCCTTCTACAGATACAAAAGTGTAAGAAATAATCATATTTTGAGCAAGTCAACAATCCAAACTTCATCGTCTTCTACTATCTGAAGTATATACGAAAAAATCAATTTGAGATCGCAACACGAGTGCTTTGGTTAGTTTGCACCTTGCCAAACTCGGCAGCGCGTGAAAATACCAAGTATCTGTGAGATACTTAGCGTGTGTGTTATTCTTGCACAAGTTCTGCATAAAGTTCGAACTAATCTTGAACAGCGCTGGCGTGTACAAGTAGGTCATGGTGCAATTCTTGCACAATTGACCAATGGCCAAAAAGCCAGTTCTTGCAGTAAAATAATAAATAATTGAATTTGTGTGGCGCCGAATGCTGCATGCTGCATGCTGTTCTTTCTTTGTTCTTTGGCAGAGATTTGACCTCATCCAAACTGCAGCTGTGCACGGTCCAAACAAGTAAATCTATCACTGCCTTTAAAATCTTGACGTTCAAGTTGAGAATTGATTGGCTCTAAATGTGTTGAGCATAATTCACACATGCATTGGCGTTTGTGCGTCAAGGTCGTCCAGTTGTCATCTGTGCGGATCATGTTTGGCTTACCCGTAGAGATCGCACCACCTCCTGCACCACTCGCATTGCACGCGAAGGCAGCAAGTGCACCAGCGAATTGGGGTGCGAGGTCAGCGTTTTCCAGGCCATCGTCTCCTGCAATTACAAAGGTCGCTTGTATTTTAAATTGAATTAACAGCAATTTGCAAACAAGCCACCGCGCCTTGTGCAAACGATGCTTTCAAGTTCACTGTTTACTGGTCTGTTGCATTAATGTTGACAATTTTTCTCTGTGTTTTTGTTTTCTGCTCAGGCTGCCCACTTTTAATGATGTTAACGGGCAACCTTGCGGACAAGCAAATTTCGTTTAATTGAAATGCCATTTGCATAATATCAAAAGAAACAAAAAATTAAATAATAAAAAAAACCAACAACTTCGTTAGAGGCGGCAACAGTCCAAAAACAGTTAAGTGGCAACAACAATGGCAACAACAGTCACGTGCAGCCAACGCTTAATAGTTAGGTATAGGTATATACAATATATATACATATGTACATATGTAAGTCTTGATACATATTGTGCGCTGTCTGTCAGCTGTCACATTAGCCGGCGTGTGTCCCCAGCTGAAATGTATCTGTATCTTGAAGTGAATCATGACACAGTTGGACCAAATACAAAAATATTCACATAGTTTCAAGTTCACATTTTACGAGTAAACCATTTTATGCTAATTTCTTTTTTTGTTGTCTTTGTGTGTGTGTATGTAAATACTTGACCCGCTAGGTGCGTGGGTCTCTTTAAGTCTTTGGCATGCATCAGTATCTGTGGTACAACATTATGCAAATGTGGGTGTAGCCGGTCGGTCATAAGACAATTTCGGTTACGCTTTATTTAAATTGATTTGGCTTGGCTTTGGCTTAATTTGATTGTGTGGCCATAATACCTAATGTTTATAATTGTTTTTCGTATTGCCTGCATTGTTGATATTGTGATATGATATGAATTAAAATGCGCACATTTGCCGCTTAAGTTCAAGCGCATCAGAAGTGGGTCAGCATTAAATCTTTAATGCATATTTAAATAGCTTTTATCGACATTTGTGCATACACAACTAAATTGAAAATGACCCAAGAGCACTATGTTTGATAACTGCCTTGTTAGATATATTAAGTTAAGCCAAGAAATAAACTTATGTAAATAACTTGTGAGTTATCACCAAGCCTTTACTGCATTTTAACGCTTTCAACTCTTTTATTTTTAGATACAACAGATAATATAATTGATTAACTCATCGTAAAATGCACACAGGAACTCAATCAAATGATGCCATTTATAAAGCGTAAATATTATGTAATCGCAAAGACAAAAGCAACAACATTTTGGCGCTTTCACGATACGCTCGAAAAATGAAAATAAATACGAAAATAACTGCAGTCCGGCAGATCGCCAATTTCAGCTTGGCGAATTCGCTGCACCATGCAGCAATGTAGAAAGTTGCTGTTACAATGGCAGCAACAATAATAGCAACAATATAACAGATTGCATAAATATTGTACGGTTTTGCAAATTTATTGAAATCAAACCTCAGTTGTGATCGTAGGATGCCCTATTTTCATTTTGCTTAGATCGAACGGTGACCCGGAAGAAGATTTTACGGTGGTTACTGCTGATGGCGACATTGTTGTTGTGGTCGTTGTTGTGGTACCAATCAAAAATAATACTTTGGGAACTAAATCTTGCAAGTCGCCAGCAGCGGAACCGGGCAATTCCCCATCAATGGGCAACACAGCCTCTGCTTCATCGCTGAAGAAATTCTCTTTAGGTTTTGCAATTTTTTCGAATTTCAATTGATTGTTCGGCTCACGGGGCCGCTCCATGAAAATGCCATATAGAATCAGACCAGTTGCCAGTAGAAGGGCCACAGTGGCCAGCACATAGGGCAGATGGGGGCGACAGGCCATTTCGGACAGCACTATCCTTATGCAACAATACAACCCGGTGACAATTGTGGGGCAGAAATCGGTTGCAGTTGCAGCAGCGGCACGCGTCGCAATGCGAAACACTAAACTTTGATTTATTGAAACGAGCTGTCTTTGTGTTCCGTTGCGGCTATTATTGGCACACAATACCGACTGGGGCTATACACTTTAGGACCGAGCTAGTTTTGCGGCATCTGCGTCCGTTATTGTTGCACTCGCGTTCACTGTCGACAGAGTTTTGAGTCGGCACCACAACCAACTGAATGCGAAGTGCGAGTCTTAGTTTTCTCCACCTGCATTTATCGTTTCTAATATATATTTTTGATTTTGTGTAGTGCTCGTAATTTATATATATATGATTTTGTTTATTGCCAAAGTTATATGCAGCACGCAATGGTCGAGTGCAGACGCTGACATTGCTTGTGCCGCCGATGTACTTGTTCACTTGTTGCTGCTTTCGGCTGATAAGCATTTATCTTTCAATGTTATCTGAGAGCGAGCGGAAATGTTGCACTTGTAATTAATATATTCATTTAATCACAATTATAATTTTTGATTTGCCATACTAATTGTTTCTTGGCTTGCTGTAGGTGTTAGTTTCATATTAATTGTTATACCAAGAGCTATATATTTATTTACACACATTTGTACAGACACCAACAGAGTTCAACTGCTGGCTGTAGATGAATCATAATTAATTGATTGTTAGACACACACATACATACATATACAATATAGTAGTAGTTACAAATTCTGCTCACCTGACTCAAATCTTCAATTATGATACATAACACTTGACAGATGGTGGGCAGATTATATTGCCCCATACTAAACTGATATACCTATAATAGGCAGCGAAAATTGAATGAAATACATTGAAAAATGATAAGAATTGTATTATTGAAAATACATTTTACAAGTATCTCGTTTAAGTAGCTCGATCTATCAAATAATTATAATCAGTCATTTTAACTTATTAATTTATGAAACACTATTCAAAAATTGACAAAATTAGCAAAGTTATATTAATATAAAAAACAAAATAATATTTGTGATTGTACTCTACGATGTGGATATAGATATCATGGCATTGGCAATGTAATGTGCATATACAATAGCATTGAAGACCAGATTCCAGATGTGCACTCAAGTGCCATTTACACACACGTTGGCCACAGATTCTTAAAAGCCATGGCCAAATCGAATTGAACAGCTCCGAAAATATTTGTTTGTTGGCTTATGCGCCTCATAAAGCACAGTACATATAAGTATTACAGCGATGGCGTATTAAGAATAGCTTTCAGCGAATCTTTGTTGGCTGCTGTGGCTAATAACTTGTGCACATGTCCATAAAATCCATTAACAACCACCTGTAAATGCGGTCTCCAGTGTTTTTCAGAGGCAGACAGAAAAGGCGATAATTCACAAATGCCGCATAAGACAATAGCTTGACGTTCATTGCGGCTACTTGTGCCTCAAGAGGCAGCCGCGGCGGCTGCTCAAGTGTTGAATTACTTTTGAAACGGCAACAAATTTGCGACACGATGTCAAAGTCACTCGCCGCATACTAGACTCAGTGGCTTTGATTTAAAGCCAGAAAAGCACAGCGTAAGCAAATTTGGGGTCTGGCACGCTTCGCTATTGCTTCTTTGTTTAAATACACACACATTCACATACACACACACTCTCACACACCAGTCACTTAGTGTAGTAGTAGTAGTAGCAGCAGTAGTACAAGTGCTTTTGCATCACACTTACCTTTAACGTATTGGAAATCTTTCCAGCTCTGGCTATAGCCGTGCCAAATGTTGAGGGCGCTATCGCAATGGACGCTGACTCATTGCACAACAGCAGCAGGGCGGCGAGCAGCAGCGGTAGCAGCAGCAGAGGACACGCGTTTCTTGTGCGTATCATGATGAACTAGTCTTGGTCTCGGATAACGACTGAGCAAATGAAAACGAATAATGCATTAGTCGATTGTCTACAGCGATAATGTGTTTGCCAACGCGAAACGCATACAAAAGCCGAACCGAACGCTTCTCAGACTACTTCTTGGTCAGGGACAAGCTGCGAATGTCAACAGCTTACCACCAGCAGTAGCAATAGCACCAACACCAGCTGTGCTGAGCTTAACTGAACTGAACTGAACTGAACTAAGCTGAGCTAAGCAACACCTAGTGATCAACTTGACTCTGTTTTCCAGCGACTAGAGCAGCATTGTCTTACATTTAATTGGCTGATATTATTTTCGTATTTGTTTACTTTTGCCGGTTGCGGTAGGTCGTTTTCGGTTTCGTTTTTGTCGTTGGCACTCGGTGCTATTATTAAATTAATACAGACATTATTCAATTTTGCTTTGATTGTGCGGTTTGTAAAGGTCACTGCGCGTATTTGGCAGCATCGATGAAGCACCGACTAAATATTTGCGTGCTCACTGGGCGTATGATAAATTAGATATGCGCAAGATGTCGTATGCCGCGGATAGTTCAATGACAGCAAAGGTTAATTACCAGACCGAGGAAAAACATATGGAGCTATGGCAAGCCGGAAGTATTACAGAAGGCTATGCCTATGCGATAGCACACAATGATATCGAGCTGTTCAAATTAATCTTTAGCAGCGTGCTAATTTCTTATTAGCATTCAGCTAAAGGGCTTTTTCACTTCCTCAATCATGCTGCGGCATCTCTGAGCAAATCAAGAATAGCGTTGTCATTGTCTGGGTTGTCTAATGACAAAATTTGCCAACTAATATGTGGCTTTGGCAACAAACTTGTTTACGGTTATCGTTCAGGCTTAGACAGCGATGAGGTGCCGTTGAGCAGAAATCAATTTGATACGGCATCAAATACACTTGATAATACTCGTGTAATATTAGCAAAATATGTGTGCGGCTGCCACGCCCACTCCGACGATGACAACAGTGCCTCATCGCACAATGCATAACATATATGGGAGGTGAGCGGAAGGGGTAGGGGGAGGGGTGTAGGGTTAACTAGACAACGCTTAAGCGACTAACCCACTTCCTACTTGAGGCCGGCGCTCAGCGCTCGACGACATTGCCGTTATTGTTGTGGGTCCGCTGTTTGCCAGCTAACAATGCTAAGGAAACACTTGCACTTTCATGGAAAGTTGTTTGGCCAGTTGCACTCCAAAGAGGCAGATAGTGAGAGAGAGAGTGAAAAAGTTTCAGCATATACGATGGCGAGAGAGTTAGAGAGACTTGAGTTAAGTCAGCTGTGCCATATGTGAATGAATGTATTGGTTCATAAGCTAATCATAAATATATGCTTCCATCTGTAGACGTATTTGTAGTCTTCATATTCGTATGGAAATTGGCTTCAACTCAATCATTAAGCAATGTTGCATTTAAATTGGTAGCACAGCAAAATTAACGAGCGAATGGACGAGTTGACGAACAACAGAATGCGCTGATTTAGCAATTGGCATTTGTAAAAGGAGAGAGCAGCAGTTATTGGGCCAAACTCAAATTAGGAGCAATCAAACAAGAAATAAACTACAGAAAGCAGGTGGGAAACAAAGCCCGACCAGCCACAAAAATCAAAAGTTAAGAGAGCGCAGCGAATATCAAAGAGGAGAGCAGGCACCTGGATTGAGACGCACTGGGGACACTGGCTGGAGCTTAAGCGAATGCGAGTGCCCGACGAGAGCTGGCTTCGCATACCTATATGGCTATGCGTTTCATTACATAAGCTGCGATCAAAACAAACAAGGTAAATATTGAAGAAAAAATAAAAAAAATAAATAAGTTAAACATGTTGAAGAGTCGATGGCGTCGCACAACGAGCGAGCGGAGCAGCAGAAAAGTAATCTGTGAAAAGCTGAACTGAGTGAGAGTGAATATTGTGGATATTTATAAAGAGGCAATAAAGGAGAGAAAGAGAGACGGTGAAAGAGGAAGGGGGCGTGTTGGGGAGAAAGACGGAATTAAAGATGAGTCGATGGTCCGATTATAACGTGACTAAAATCAGTTTTTAGGCAGTTAGCGAGGCATTTCATTTATGCATGCGTGCAAATTGAAACTTAACGCCAAATTTCGCTTGACCCCTTACATAAGCCGGCAGACAGATAACGGAACTAATGCGAACACTTTGCCAACTAAGGGGTATTTATGCGCGACAAAGGCAAAGATCAAGACTGAAGACGCAACTGGCGAACTGTTTGTATTGACGTACAATGTTTCATTTGCACAAAGCTAACTAGCCGCGCATCACAGTGGGCCAACGTGCCAGCTGACGGACAAACAAAATAAATTTGACATAGATACACAGTAGGTAAGTAAGTATATGGGCGATGTGACTCAACGGGCGAACAGCGAACATTAATGCGCAACATTTTCCGTATTGTCAATGACAATTGTCAATTTCAGGGCAACGCGAGACCGACTATCGATGATCGATTACGAATTGCCTATCCGATTGATACATACATAGGGTAACTGTTAATAATTCACAAATAATGCACTGCACACTAGACAAGTTCAAGTTTGTCGCCTAAGTCTTTCGTTTCGAATGGCGCGTGGCGCGCTTCTCGTCTTCTTCTTCTTCTGCTTCTGCTATGGCAACAATTTGGTCTCGTCGCGTACCAAAAAAATTTTTCGTGCTTCTCGTTTGACTGTTGCCGTTGAACTGAGTCTGTGCCCGGCCAGCAGTGCGCTTAAGCGTCAAATTGTTTTTTTTTCATACCCATATCGCATCGCTTCGAGTCGCGCACATTTCCAGCTGCCGCTAGAGTCGAGACGCAGACGAAGACGGAGGCGGAGCAAAAGTTGAAGAGTCGAAGATGGACAAACTCCTAGCAGGCAAACGGTTTGTGTTTCGTTTCTTAATTTTTTTGCTTCTGGACACAGAACTCGAGTTACTGCAAAAATAATTTTGAACTCGGCGACAACAAATCACGCATAAATTATGCAAATTTTTTTATTTTTTTGAGATGGTTTGCTGTTTGGTAATTTGTATTTATCATAGCAGGCAGCTATACTAACAGCTTAACATAACGACTCCGTATTCTTGACCAAGATTGGCTTACTCTGTGCCTCTCTGCCAAGTCGTTAATCTATAGACACGTGCAATTAGTTACTACCACTGGAAAAGTGGTTGACACTGAGAAGCGAAAAGCGACTGAAATTTTTGTCACTATTTGAGATCAAGGATAAAACATTAGTTCAGACCATAGACTTCCAGGAAAGGGGCGGAGACCTTTGACATTGCAAATTGAGTCTTGCAACAAATGATGCTAAAATGACAACTATGAATTACATTGTAATGTAATCATAAGAGTATTTTTGTTGGTTGTTTTGAATTAGTGATAAATGGCAAAGGTAATTAAGCTTAAGTTTTCACTAATCATCATTGTGTAATTAATTGAATCTACACGCTGCTCATCATTAACAAACATTTTCAAGTTTGGCAACGCATCAATTTTCATATTCCACATCATGCCCCATGTGACCTTATTGCGTTTTATGTATCTACAGCATCTACACTTGACTAAGTACACAATTCGGACAACAAAACCTTCGTAATTATGTATATACGAATCCAAATTGTGCATTCAGTGCGCAGCTCTCTGGTCTCTATCTATATCTATTATACGGAGTGGAAAGTGTGTCAACATATTGTTCTATACAAATATTTACTCTGGCGTAAATTATGAAAATATGCACATAAAAAATAATGTGCCGCTTCCCGAACAACGACTCCGCATCGCTTGGGCAAACAAGAATTTTGAAAGTGACCCGGTAGTTAAATTGCACAATGTACTCCAATACAGGCCGCATAATCAACTGACGCATGCCTCGCATATAGATTAATAAGTAAGATTTAGCGTGGTGACGTGTCAACTGAAAGGCTCAACCAATTCTGCATCAGTTGTAGTCCCGTTGGAACCGCTTCTCATGGTCAACTGCTATTCATTGTCCTATGTTGATATTAGTGGAGTTCTTATCATCATATACAGGTTCTTTAACAACAAATAATAATAATAATATTGTTTTTGTGGTTTTTAATGTTCATATCATCAATTGGCATTTTAATTATTGTGCTCACTGGTAAATTCAACAACATTTAAGTTTTTTATTTAATATTATCATATTTAATATCAAGGTTAAATTTTCATTTCAAAAAATCATTTGAATTTAGCGCCCAAGTGCTGTCTGTCAATGGCCAATTGCTACGACACGCAGAGTATACTCTTTGCATATCAGCCAGATTCGGACAGCGACAACATTCGTTTTGTGTGCAGACTGCCAACAAAAAATAGATGGCGCCAGCTAATTATTGTGAATGGTTCATGTCAAGGCTAAAATATTTGCAACGACACATAGAGGTACCAGAACCAGTATCGCAACCAACTTCAAGTGTAATAACCACACAGCGTGAAGTTGGCGTCGAAACCAAGTTCAACTTGAATTTGGCGTTACTGCCCGCCAAATTTAAAATCATAAATAATGTTTGTATGTCCAATCCTTGACGTATATTTCATAGTTATGGGCAAGTTATTACTTTAAGGCCAAGTTACTACATAAAATCACATTGGTAAAATTACGTTAAGCCAAATTTTGCATTTTATAGATCTTAATTTTGCCGCCTGTTGAGAAATTCACGCTTTAAACTTTCGTTAATAAAAATTCAAATTCAAAATGCTAAATTTTTGCCAAAAATATGCAAATTAAAGGGCATGAAACATAGGCTCACCTAAGAACCCAAACACTTTCAAACATTTCACACAATATATAAAATATACATGTATTGTATATATTTTATATATTTATATCAAAAGATTCCATTTTTTATGGAGGTTTGTAGCTCGAAGCATTCAATACATACATATATACATGCATACATTGCTCTATAACACGCTTAGTGCTTAAGCTTAGGCACCAACATGCCTAACCTAGAATCGGTGGCTTCAACTTTACTTAAATTAAATTTATTCTTATCACTTATCATAATATAATGATTATATTGGTGATTACTCATAATTGATATATTAGAATACTCCAATACAGGCCGCATAATCAACTGACGCATGCCGCGCATATAGATTAATAAGTAAGATTTAGCGTGGTGACGTGTCAACTGAAAGGCTCAACCGATTCTGCATCAGTTGTAGTCCCGTTGGAACCGCTTCTCATGGTCAACTGCTATTCATTGTCCTATGTTGATATTAGTGGAGTTCTCATCGTCATATACAGGTTCTTTAACAACAAATAATAATAATAATATTGTTTTTGTGCGTTTTAATGTTCATATTATCAATTGACATTTTAATTATTGTGCTCACTGGTAAATTCAACAACGTTAAAGTTTTTTATTTAATATTATCATATTGACTATCAAGGTTAAATTTTCATTTGAAAAAATCATTTGAATTTAGCGCCCAAGTGCTGTCTGTCAATGGCCAATTGCTACGATACGCTGAGTATACTCTTTGCATATCAGCCAGATTCGGACAGCGACAACATTCGTTATGTGTGGAGCAGACTGCCAACAAAAAATAGATGGCGCCAGCTAATTATTGTGAATGGTTCATGTCAAGGCTAAAATATTTGCAACGACACATAGAGGTACCAGAACCAGTATCGCAACCAACTTCAAGTGTAATAACCACACAGCGTGAAGTTGGCGTCGAAACCAAGTTCAACTTGAATTTGGCGTTACTGCCCGCCAAATTTAAAATCATAAATAATGTATGTATGTCCAATCCTTGACGTATATTTCATAGTTATGGGCAAGTTATTACTTTAAGGCCAAGTTACTACATAAAATCACATTGGTAAAATTACGTTAAGCCAAATTTTGCATTTTATAGATCTTAATTTTGCCGCCTGTTGAGAAATTCACGCTTTAAACTTTCGTTAATAAAAATTCAATTTCAAAATGCTACATTTTTGCCAAAAATATGCAAATTAAAGGGCATAAAACATAGGCTCACCTAAGAAGCCAAACACTTTCAAACATTTCACACAATATATAAAATATACATGTATTGTATATATTTTATATATATTTATATCAAAAGATTCCATTTTTTATGGAGGTTTGTAGCACGAAGCATTCAATACATACTATATACATGCATACATTGCTCTATAACACGCTTAGTGCTTAAGCTTAGGCATCAACATGCCTAACCTAGAATCGGTGGCTTCAACTTTACTTAAATTAAATTTATTCTTATCACTTATCATAATATAATGATTATATTGCTGATTACTCATAATTGATATATTAGAATACTCCAATACAGGCCGCATAATCAACTGACGCATGCCGCGCATATAGATTAATAAGTAAGATTTAGCGTGGTGACGTGTCAACTGAAAGGCTCAACCGATTCTGCATCAGTTGTAGTCCCGTTGGAACCGCTTCTCATGGTTCAACTGCTATTCATTGTCCTATGTTGATATTAGTGGAGTTCTCATCGATCATATACAGGTTCTTTAACAACAAATAATAATAATAATATTGTTTTTGTGCGTTTTAATGTTCATATCATCAATTGGCATTTTAATTATTGTGCTCACTGGTAAATTCAACAACGTTAAAGTTTTTTATTTAATATTATCATATTTACTATCAAGGTTAAATTTTCATTTCAAAAAATAATTTGAATTTAGCGCCCAAGTGCTGTCTGTCAATGGCCAATTGCTACGATACGCTGAGTATACTCTTTGCATATCAGCCAGATTCGGACAGCGACAACATTCGTTTTGTGTGCAGACTGCCAACAAAAAATAGATGGCGCCACCTTATTATTGTGAATGGTTCATGTCAAGGCTAAAATATTTGCAACGATACATAGAGGTACCAGAACCAGTATCGCAACCAACTTCAAGTGTAATAACCATACAGCGTGAAGTTGGCGTCGAAACCAAGTTCAACTTGAATTTGGCGTTACTGCCCGCCAAATTTAAAATCATAAATAATGTATGTATGTCCAATCCTAGACGTATATTTCAAAGTTATGGGCAAGTTATTACTTTAAGGCCAAGTTACTACATAAAATCATATTGGTAAAATTACGTTAAGCCAAACTTTGCATTTTATAGATCTTAATTTTGCCGCCTGTTGAGAAATTCACGCTTTAAACTTTCGTTAATAAAAATTCAATTTCAAAATGCTACATTTTTGCCAAAAATATGCAAATTAAAGGGCATAAAACATAGGCTCACCTAAGAAGCCAAACACTTTCAAACATTTCACACAATATATAAAATATACATGTATTGTATATATTTTATATATATTTATATCAAAAGATTCCATTTTTTATGGAGGTTTGTAGCACGAAGCATTCAATACATACTATATACATGCATACATTGCTCTATAACACGCTTAGTGCTTAAGCTTAGGCATCAACATGCCTAACCTAGAATCGGTGGCTTCAACTTTACTTAAATTAAATTTATTCTTATCACTTATCATAATATAATGATTATATTGGTGATTACTCATAATTGATATATTAGAAGGAATCTAAAGCTAAAGCTCATTACACTAAACGAATTAAATTCCTCAATAACACGGAAATTTTGAAAATGTTACATTAGGTACAAGGAAAAGAGAAAATTCTATTGTTGCGATATGCCAGAGCTCTCTAAGGCACGGAATATTTTAAATATGGAATGTATATAGGCAGCAGTGCGCAGATCGTTGCACAGCTCGAACTTATTGGCTGTACTTTTGATTCCAATGCCAGATGACTCCATAACCGTTTGTAAGGCAGCATCCACAATGTCAGCCTCCCTGGTGCAATCTCGAATTTGTTGGAGGCGCTCGTTCGGGATGATTTCGGGCTACGAATAAAATTGGTGAATTGTAAATAGTATAGTATATATATATAAATATACCGCCCAGAATCTGATGGAAGGTTTCGCCACTTACGTATTCACCCTCATCACAGCGGTTAAGCGACTCGTTTATGGAATTAATGACCCCATGAATGAGCTGTGAAGTGATTTTCGAGTTCATCTTTCCATAGGACACATGATTAATATTCTTCAAATATTCGAAATAGGAGACGGTGACGCCGCCTGCATTGCAATAAATATCTGGAACCATCAGGACGCCCTTCTCTAACAGAATTTTCTCAGCAGCTGGTGTCGTAGGCCCATTGGCTCCCTCCAGTATCAATTTAGCTTTGATGTCTTTTGCATTATCACTAGTAATCACCTTCTGTGTGGCACAAGGCATCAATATGTCACAATCCGCAGTGAGCAGACTTTCCTTGGTCTCCTTGCCCTTCGAATACCCCTTGATGGTTTTCTTTTCAGCTTTGAATGCAATAACATCCTGTGAAGAATGCGTTCCTTCAGAGTATACCAATTGATTAGCGATTGCTACTTACATTAATATCAATACCATCCTGGTTGGTCAGGGAAAAGTCGAACTCCTGGATGCCAATCACTTTAGCGCCTGCCTCGTGCACAAATTTAGCGGCAAACGAACCAACATTGCCAAATCCCTGGACAATGACCCTCTTATCTTTCCAGCCAGTCTTAAATCCAATTAGATCCATCCATTCTTTATCTTGCAAAAACAAATCTCCCGTCTTCCACACACCACGGCCTGTGGCCTGAAATCTTCCATTAATGCCGCCGATGTGGACAGGCTTCCCTGTGACAATCGCCGCCGCATTGATGTCCTTGTAGCCAAACGTCTTGGTATACTGATCCAATAGCCAGCTCATCTCTCGGGGACTCGTGTTCACATCTGGGGCTGGTACATCGATACCAGGCCCAATCATGTTGCGCTTTAGCAACTCCATGGTATAGCGCCGTGTAATCGTTTGTAATTCCATAACCGAGTACTTTTTGGGATCGATCCGAATGCCGCCTTTGGACCCACCATAGGGGAGATTAACACAGGCGCACTTGAATGTCATAATAGCTGCTAATGCCTTCACCTCTGCCTCATCCACATCCATGGCGAAGCGAATTCCTGAGGGTGGTGCATCAACTGTAAATCAACTGGCCGCCTTAGACATCTGTCAATTGATACTTACCACCCTTTAGGGGCAACCGATTTCGTACATGATGTGCTCGATAGCCAGTTATAATCTCATATGTGCCATCATTTCGTGCAATAGGAAAGTTCACTTCCAACGTTGTGTTCACGTTTCCTATTAAATTTAAAATGGCACTCACGCGAGCCTGCTTCTCCTCTGGCTTCAAATGTGGATACTGATCCATCTCTTTGACCAACTCTTTTTCCATGATCTGGGCGGCCTTATGATAGTAGTACATAACCATTGCCGAGAGCTCAGGGTCCTTATCCGTGGCAACCTTTTGCAGTTTCTCGGGAATCTTGTGCTCATTACGCTTTTGCAATTGTGGCGACGTTTGGAAACGACCACTAAACAGAACATTATTTATGCCACGAAGCATTTTCTTTTTTCCAAATTGAACAAAAATAAATCTGTTTTATGAGACAATTTTGTTGTTGACTCTGCAAATGCTGTTGCCTATAAATACGATTGATTTCAATATTCCAAAGATAACTCTGTTATTCGAATTTTGTCACGATAAATAACGTAAAACGTCAAAGCTAATATCTGTGAAATTTAAGAATTTACTTCAGGAATCTTATACAAAGTTTAAGTATACTATTTTCCTAGTAAATACTAACGCTGCCAAAGCTTATTTCGTTGTAAATATGATCCTAAGAAAGTTTAAGTCGTAGCAAGGATTAGATGCAATTTGAAATGTATGCCTAGAAACAGTATTGCTACTCAAACTGGTAATTATCAAGTGGAAAAGAATTAATGGTAATGATCAATTCCAATACTCCCTTTCGAGCCACCCTAGGGGAGATCTACACAGGCACACTTAAAAGCTGCTAATGCCTAATGAATGATGAGGTAGCCTAACAGTTTTCGGAACCTTGCCACTTACCACCCTTCAGAAGCTACCGATTTCGAACGTGATACGCTCGATAGCCAGTGACTATTTCATATCGTTACTTACAATAGGGAAGTTCACCCTTTGCGAAGTAAACACGCACCTCCTATCAAGTTTATAGTAGCATTGACACGCATGGGCTTGAAATGAGATCCATACTCTTTGACCAACTCCTATTCGGGATCCTTATTTGTGGGGACCGACTTACGTTTATTTTTTGTGCTCTCGGAACAGCATATACTGAATTGACAGGCTTTAATTGTGTCAAAATTATTTCATGTTTGAATTTATATTGTAAAAGTAAAGAAACGTTTGAACTCAATAATTTCGCCGTTATTTCATTGTTGATTTTATAATATTTTTGGATTTTGTTTTTATTGTATAAATTGCTCTACATAATACGTGGCTACAGGCTACGATCTAGGCTTAAATATTTTATAGCTATACACAAATATAAACATATTTTGAATGGTAAATTCTTAACGCATGGAAAACTCTAAGCAGCCAGTAATTAAAAACATAACTAAGAGTATCCTATGTAGAGTTGCATTATACCTATGTGTATATAGAGTTTATTGGGCACACAAACACAACTAACACAACTGCATATGCATTTGTATGTTTGTTTGTATGTCTGTATGTAAGTATGTATGTATTAACTGTTGTGCCGTTTGACGTTTAAAGTTTTGGACTCGCACGGAAGCGCACAAAATGAATGTAGATTGGAGTAGGGATTATTTAGTTTGTATGTATGTAGGTATATAACTTAGTTGTACCAGTAGCACAGGTTACACATAAATATGATAGACTTATTAATAAGCATTATTATAGGTATTAATAATATTATATTATAGCTTTATGTTGTTATTATTATCTATATACACGCACAGACAGCTTAGTGTTTGTGAAATGGTTTAGAACTAGAAAAAAGCGACCCCGTTTGCAAAATGAAAAGTAAAGATTTAACAAAAATGTAGCTTTTAATATCACTTTGGGGACATGCACTCGATCTCTTATGGCCTCTTTTACGATGGATACAATTGGTAGCATATAGAACTTTAATTCGACAACAATCGCATTGCACATAAATTTTCAAAATTTAATTCGCTTCATTCAATCCGGATGTTAGCTTCATTCTAATAATGCGTATTGAAACTGGTTTGCTTGATTCATTGAAATTCAATGCTACTCACTAATGGCTTAGTCATATATCATAGTGGGTATCATACTTATCGCTAGCATATTTTCAATTAATTTCAAATTAATTCAAAAGTCTAATCTTTATATAATAATTACAAAGTGATTACGACGCCCTAACAAACACATTAATCTCGTAGCAAGATCGCAGGTATTGCTGCTGCTTAAAATTTAACATCACGCTTGGAAACAATAATTCTCAAAAGTATATTTTTCCCGTTGAGTACTATAATTTGTGGCCTTTCTATAGAACTGTAGTTCAGTGCCCTTCAGCTGCAGCACATCAAGCAGCCTCTATTCCGCTCAAGTGCTAGTCGATGTCCTTCTTCTCGATCTTCAGATCGAACTTGGCAACTAGCTCCTCTGGCGTGTGTCTGTAATAAATGCATGAAACTTCAGTTAGCTAAATGTGCCTTCGACCAGCCTTTGGGCAATTGATTACTTACCCCACCAGATTCTGCAGATCGCAGACAAAGCGATAAACATAGCGTTTTCCCGCCGTCTTATGTATGATGTTCTTGTCGTAGTAATAGCGCAGACCGCGGCTCAGTTTCTCGTAGTTCATCTTGGGCTTGTTTTTTCGTATACCCCAGCGACGCGCCACCTATCGGACGGAAGATGCAATAATCACAGTTTTAGTAAAGTTTTGGGGTAATACAAATGAAATGAATTACCTCATCGGGATCGGTTAGCTTAAACTCCCAACCATCGCCCGTCCATGAGATGAAACTCTGACAGGTCTTGTCCAGCAACAGCTCCAGCAGGAATTGCCACAACTGAATGGGACCAGAGCCCGTAAAGCAGGGCACGCCCCCCTGCGTTGTGTAGCCGCCTAGCAGCGTTTTATCCAGACCCAATGTGGTCATATATGCCGGATGCTGATGGGCGTGCGCGTTCCACTGATCCATGTTCGGCTGGGCGCCCATCGTTGGAAACTGTGCATCGTATGGCGTAAACTCGGGCTGGAAAGCCTCGTGGAAACGTGCCCGATTATACGAAGGATAAAAATCAGGACTGCCATCCATATAGCCATTGGTGTTGGCGTTGCCGCTACCATTGCCTGCATTGGTGGCCTGGTTTTGATGCTCCTGCGCGGAAAGTGTGCTGTGATAGTCGCTATCATCAGCACTGCCAGCAGCTACAGCACCAGAGCCCCCACTGGCCGTGTTGCCCCCTCCACCACCACTATAGTGTCCAGCGGCTGCTGTTGCGGTCAAATGTGCGGGCAGATTATAGCTGCTGAGATCTGTTGGATCGTTTTGAGCATTCGATGCATAGGCGGAGCTGCTGCCGTTTCCAGACTGTGTGCCCGGCTCCTCTTTCAGCTGATGATGTTGGTAGAGAGGCGCTGCCATGTAGTTCATATTATTGTTGCTGTTGTTGTTATTGTTGTTGTTATTATTATTATTGTTGTTGTTGTTGTTGCCCGCATTGACATTGTTATTAGCATTATTGTTGCTGGCGTTGCCACTGCTGCTGCTATTGTTGTTATCGGAAGCATTTTGCTGCTGTTGCTGCTGCACGCCAGGCGGCAGCATGTTGCTGTTGTTGCTGCTGCTGCCGGTGCTTGTGTTGTTTCTGTTGCCATTCACATGCTGTTGCTGCGATTGCTGCGGTGGCGGGCTGCTGTTGGTGCGATCATGTGCATTGCTGTTGTTATTGTAGCCTGCAGAATAATAAAAATATACAAAATTGATTAGCTTTTGGCTTATAATTTGAATGTTGTAGAACAGAATTTACCAAAATTATACATAGTATTTATATATTTGCGAATCATAATGTGATTACTCCAATAATTATTATACACAGCCTGATTTATTAGACAGACAAACAAAATTCAATTGTAATATTTGAGAAATGTATTATATACCTCTACTTTATCGGACTTTGCAGAGAAACTCCACATGTACAAATGTCACTAAGGATCTAAGTTGCTAGTCAAAAATTAAGAATATGAAAAATACAACAAATGTCAATTTAAATAGACATTCAAATCGGTTTAGAAATGAATTCTGATTCTCTTGCACAATTTCGTATTTATTATTAACGTTTTGGAGAGCAAAAAATTGAAATATTAAAAATATCTCCCAAACGCGATAATCTCATCAAATCCTTTGATTTGCTGCAAATGCATTTTTAGTAATAGTTGGGGGGCGTCTCTGACACGAACACAATTCGAGGGCAATCGCTTCGGAAGCCAATCAAAATTCGAAGCGCACACCAATACAAATGCCCAGCGGAGCAATAGATACAAAACACAGATACACACGCATACATCAACAGCTATAGAGACAGACACACACACACACACACACACACATGCATGCATGCACATGCTCATATTTGCGAGCGAGTTGAGCTACCCTCTCTCAATCTAATGTGGCTTGTGAGAGCACGCTACATTAATTGCAAATACGTCGAAATTTAACACGTTTCATCATATGCGTGTGAGTGTGTGTGTATCTGTGTGTGTGTCTGCATGTGTATCTGTGGCATACGAAAACCTGTTGCACACGTACACATAGACACATATAAACTCACACATGCGCGCTGGCTCGCTCGCTCGCTCTTACAATATGAGCAACTGGTGCAATCTCGCTCGCTCGCTCGCTGGCTGGCAGCGGGCTGGCTGGCAGCGGGGCAAAAGCTTAGCGCGTTTTCCCATTCGCTCGCGCAGCGACGGTATTGCGCAGATACAAAGATACAAAGATACGAAACGCTGCCCGTTGGCTGAGCCAACGGACGGCTCGACAACAAAGAGCTGGGTGCCTCCCACGGTTATCCTCATACAGAGGCGCAGCATCTTAGTCCAAAAATGTATCTGCAAGTAGTGCATCTATGTATTTTACCAGCCATCCTTCCAATCATCTATCTATCCGTCTATCTATCTATTTATATATCTATCTATCTAATAGTTAGTCAACTCAGGCAGAAACAAAGCATACAACTGTGTTGAGGCATTTATCACCAGCTCAATCTCCTCCCCCTTCATTCAACTTGTTGCGTGTTTGTTGTTGCTGCGGCCGCTGCTGTGGTTGCTTGCGGGCGTCACACAAACAAACACTTGAAAACGAATTACAATTTAATTACGCGTTGAGGGTTGTGCGCACATCTTTGAGCTACTTTTTACACTCCAACACCTCACAATTGTAATTAAAATTGTGCGGCATTTGATGTCCGCAAATATTTGACAAGCGTTGTGCTATACCTGAGCTAAAGAAGTTCACATCCGAGTCCGTGTAATAGGCATTGCCAGTTGCATGATGCGGCGGCGGCGGCGAATAGTCGCCCACAAAGGGCGCCATATCATTAAAATAGCCCAGGCCAAATGAAGCCGCCGTGGAGCTGCTTAAGGCACCCGCCAGGCTGCCAATGCCAATGGCGCTGCCAGTGCTCGCAAAGCTATGCGACGAGGCATTCGAGGATGCACTAGAACTGGAGCCGGAGGATGAGGAGGCCGTATTGCTGCCAGTGCTGCCGCCGGACAAGCGATGCTGCTGCTGTTGCGTGGGTGAAACGTAATGTGAATGTTGCTGTGGTTGCGGTTGCTGCTGCTGCTGTTGCTGTTGGTGTGTCTGCTGCTGCTGCTGCTGTTGGGGATGTTGCTGCGAATGATGTTGCTGCTGTTGCGGCTGATGAAGATGTTGTTGCTGCTGTTGTAGCTCTGCTGGCAAGACATGTTGCTGATGCTGCAAATGCACCGTTTGCTGCGGCAAATGATAGTTCGAATAGTTGTCATAACTTTGTAGCACCATATTTTTCGTTGTTGCTGCCGTTGTATAATTGTAGTTGGGCGCCGTGTGGCAATTATTGTTGATGCTGCTGTTGTTGCTCCTGTTCGTTATGTAATGTTGCAAGTTCCTGAACTGTTGCTGAAGCTCTGATGCTGTTGCCGCTGCTGTCGTTAATGCTGTTGTTGCCTTGTCGTTATCCGACGCGTTTGCTGCACTGATTATGGTGGCATTAACTAGGAAGGCAGAGGGCGGCATTTCTTCGCGTTTTCCAATTGATCAATTGTCAAAAACTGAATGTTAAAAATGCACGTCATTGACTTTTTGGATAGTCTACACAAATGTTATTCGTATTTATATATACTCTATACAAAATCAAATCTGCGGGGTCCACTGTCAACTGTCAACTCAATTGACAATGCTTGGCCTGGCTACACACAAATTGTAAGTGGATTGCTGTGGCTCAGCTCGCTTATGCTGGTGCTACTTGCAGTTGTATTAAAATTGATTTCACTTTTCGGCTATATACGAGAATTTTTAATTTTTGCACTGACTCTGCTGCTGGATGCGGGCTCTAATCAATTGAGCTGCGTCTGGAATTGGTTCTCATAAATATATGGATCATACGCTTAAGTATGCTGTATGCTGTAGGCTGATATGCATAGATTCTCTAGCATGTGGGCGATAGCACTTGTGGTTTGAGTTTTGCTTTTGGTATTCAGTTGTGTTATTTAAGTAGCGCCGTTCCGTTGATTGTGTCCAAGTGTGTGTGTGTGTGTGTTTTTTTTTATTATTATTATTTTTGAGATTGCGAATTTAGAAGAGTTTTTTTTTTTGTTTTCTTTTCTTACTTTTGATTATTTGTTGTACATAATTTTGGGCAATTCCCTAAGAATTGTTTTAATGAAACGCAGTTATCGCACTTTTTGGAATTCTTTTAAATTCAGAACGTTCTCGTCTGATAGTTGTTGAGATTTTTGAAATATCTTTTACTAAGAATTCCGTCGCATTTTTAATTCAGATAAAATTATAACACTTGCAGGCAATTCGCGCATTTAATGGCATTTAATTGAAGGCAATTCGTACAAAAAATCTCTCGCCACAGCTCTGATGCTTTACATTGTATACACACTAACACTAACACGATCTTGAATAAATACATACATCAAAAGCAACTTGATAAATGAAGGCGCATATCGTACATATTTCATATATTGCATTTTCTGATATTTCTTGTTTTATTTCTTTTCTTTCTTTTAAATATATGTACTACTGTTGGCAAAATGTTGCACCATTTGTTTTCGATTTCCTTGTATTCTTTAGCAATCGTTTGGTTGTTTTCTTCGCGTATACGCGATTTTTCACTTGTATCCACTGATCACTGATCACTGATCAACTTCGTGCGATTTACTTAGCGAACGTTCGTTCGAGCGACGGCAGCTCTTCTACCTTCGACATCCGTTTAAGAACTGAAGTTGCGCTGAAGTTGTGCGTCGTGTTGTTGCCTGTGTAGCGAGACCATTGTGTTTGCGAGTGTGTGTGTGTGTTTGTCTGTGTGTGTGTGCGTCTGTGTTTCTGTGTGTATCTGCAGCGCTCACTCGCGTGTATCTGTGAGCGTATGTATTTGTGTGTGAGTGTCTGCCTCTGTGTGGGAGCGCCTCGTGTGCTGGTTTCGTCGTCGTGCGCTCGGCTCGGCAACAGCCACACGAGCCACATACACTCACACACACCAATACACTCGCACTAATGTGCCATTGGCAATAATAATAATCAAGAGGAAGGCATACTTGCACAGCGCTTATTCACAGATACTCTCCGGCTCTGGGTTAAGTAAGAGTATGTAAAAGCAAAAATAAAAATACAAAAAAAAACTCTAGTTTTGCTTGTCTGCGACTAAGTATATCGAAAATGTATTTAGATCAACTTCCATGTACTATTGGGCACCACTTGTAGCTGCAACATGGCCGCTAGATAGTATTGCAACATTTGTTAATTATGTTGTTTTCAAATTAGCCCGAAAAGATCATTAATATGGCAACGCCAACACATAGGAGCAACAATATTAACCATTTTAGGCCATCAAAATGGCCATCAGCAACAACCCGCAGCCCACCAGACACTGGTCTGCAGCAATCGGATTGGAACTGTCAGTGTTATGAGTGTATGTGTATCTGTGTGCTAGCGTGTGTAAGTGTGTGTGGGTAGTAGCTCATCAGCGAACAAACGCCAACGATTTTTTGTTGATGGACCACATAAAAAGCATCTCATAGATACGCACACATACACACAAACACACACACACACACGTACATAATTAGACAAAGTTGGGATTGGCTACTGCGACCGTATGAGATCATAACCAACGGGCCGGCCAACAACCCAGTGGCGTTGAAAAGCTGCTGTCGAGTCTTCAACAATACCAAATTAGTTGCCGTCTTTATTATTATTTTTTTTTGTTTATATTTTAAAATTGAAGGCGTACGTGTTTTTTTTTGCTGGCATAATTTGTTGGTGAAAAAAAAGATGAAAAAACTACAAGGGAAAAAACAAATCTTAGAGATTTTTTTTGTGTTGTATAATTGCTGTAAAAAGAAAAATGGTGGCATTTGAAACGTGTTGTCGAGCCATTTGTGGCAACAGCCAATGACAAAATTAAGCTCAAGTTACGTGTAAGACGAAATGACACGTTCAAATGCAACCCTATTAAAAATGCCCTATGATAAACTGCATTGGAATATAAGCATTCAAATATTTGCAACTCGTTAGCCATCCCATTGTTGCTGTACTCAGTAATCATTCTTATCGCGGCCATGTTATCAGTTTTGGAGTTTATTGATTGCTTGAGCGATAGATATGGAACCAAATAAAAAACAGCAATGGCCTCAAGGGTGAATAGCTCAAGTTTTTCCAGGAAAATGTGTTGCAAGTACATTCA